ATCCCATGCTGCCCTCTGCAACCGCGCTTCCCGGATGGCTGAGAAAGGCCAAGTGTCTGGATAGAACATCTGTCCACCCGCAACAGCCAGAGCCGGCCGTCCCTCTGCCCCATCTCCCGACTTGGCTCCGCAGACTTGGAGCCTGCTCCAAGATGCTCCTGCGGTTGCGAAAGCATCCTCACTGCAGGGGACCAGAGCGGAGCCAGCCCCTCTCCCCAAGGAGCTGCAGGGGATACTTTGGGGTGTGTGTGTAAAAGCAGGGATTCCTGGGCAGCATCTGCCTCAGGCCAGCATCCTTGGGCAGGTGCCTGCAGAAGGGAAGCAGCGCCGGAGCGGCTGCCTTTGGGAAAGGCAGGGAGAAGGCAAGGGGTGGGTGAAGAATAAATATATAGCAGCCAGCTGGTGAGCTGTGGAGTCAGCACAAGGTCTGGAGAACGCGGCGGCTGGCAGCAGCGAGGGAGCCCTGGTATTTCAGACAGCTGGTACAGCAAGGTCAGCCCGGCCAAAGCAAAAGGCCCCTTTGCTGTTCCCCCACACTGGGGTTGAAGGACGGACACCCCCGGTTGGAGACCCCAAAGGGGAAAAGCCGCCCATGAGTGACACTGAAACAACGGGTGAGGATGAGGAGGGAGGGAGCGTGGTTGGGGACAGACCAAACGCTCCCTGACCTCATCGGCAGGGAAAAGCAAGCGGCACATTTTCCTCGTGTTGTTTCTTTGTTTGCCATCTGGGAACACGATCCCGCAGGAGGCCGTGCCCCGAGACATGAAGTCATATCATGATTATATTGCCACCTCCGTGCCGGGATTGAGATCTCATCCGAAAATGCCAGACCCAGCCGGTGTTAGCCTGTGGAGGAAGCTTGCTTTGCTGAAAGGCAATGGAAGCCTCGCTAAAAACATCTTTACATAGACATATGCTGCAAACCAAAACAGGTTTAGCCCAATAAAGTTGGCTCAAAATACCTTGGCCTGATTTTGCTCTGTATCTGCTAGAATTAGTGATGGCAAAAACGGGCACGAGCACAGACAGAACCACAGAAGCCAACCCAAGCTGGAAGCCAAAAAAACTGGGATGAGCGAGACCAGTTCTGCTTTTCCCTTAGGTTTAAGGAACAAGCAGAAGCCCAGTGCTGCCCGTTCCATCCCTCTGGAGCCTATACATGAAGCCGGGGCTGGGGACATGCAGAGGAGCCGTCATCAACCACCCAAAACACTGCCAGTCACCAGGAGGGTCTTGGTTTGCTCCAAAATGAACAGAAGATGAGAACAAGCCAGAGGTCCTGCCCGCCTGGCCACAACCCGGGACCCTTCCTGCACAGGTTTATGATCTCTCATGCTGTGACACATCCCAGTATCCGTATTCCCACTGGGAATTCAGCCTGGTGCAATGCGGGAGGAGGGTCAGATGTCACCTCCCACCTCCTGGGTTTGCTTTACGCAGCACCCAGGAGTTTCAGCTGCTGCTCAGCACCAGTGGGATGAGGTCCAGTTAAGAACACAAGAACTCTTTGATGTTGGCCCAAAACCCCGTGAGTCTGTGCCCCCTGTCAGGCACAGCCCCATGCAACAAGACCTAGATATCCCCCATAAAGCAGGAAAGGGACATGGAATAAACCAGAGGATGCTCAGACACCAGCCTGAGGATGGAGCTGGAGAGATGGCAGCAAGCTCTGCGTGCTCCCACCAAGTGGGATGGCAAATGCATCCAAAGCAAACTCGAACAGCTTTGCTTGAGTTATGGTGGGATTTGAGAGCTTTCCAACCTGAATATATTTGCAGGAAGTTGCACGGATGGAAAAAATACCAACAAAAACCCCACAAACCAACGGAGCTCACTTTTACAGGTAGATAACTGCGGCAAGAGCAGCGACAGGCAAAGATGGGATGAGTCAGAAAAGCAGGGAAGCTTTTGCCAGTGCTGGCAGAGAGAGAAAGGATTGAGCAAGCACAAACACGATCCAGGTCAAGCACAATCAGGACTTGACCTTGGAACAGCAGTGACACAGACCTGTGCCCCTATGGAGAGGGCAGCAGAGCTTAATTGGTGACTGAAAGTCTTCAGCAGGTACCGCTGGCCAGGAACATGGGTCAGCATCACCTCTGGGCACCAGCCAACCCTGGTTGTTTTATGGCCTATTCAATGCAACCAGCCTCAACACCTGCCCTGCTCACAGCCACTGCCTGTCCTGCAGCACCATGGGAACAGCAATTCCCACCTGGCAAAGGGGGCTCAACCACCAGGCAGGTCGTCTGGATCAGGAGGATGAGGCATCATAGTGGTGGCAGCAGCCACCCCAAAGCCAGGAGCCTGGCACCCATAGATCAGCAAAGGCCCCCCTTGCAAGGGGCACAGCTGGAAAGATGCATTCTCACAGTGCACATCTGCATGCCAAGGGTGACAAGCCATTTGGTGAGGTTCCCTTACCAAAGTTCAGCGTTACCATTATTTCTCAGTGGGAAAACCCAATCCCACCCCACACAAGCCAACAACAGCAGGGTTTCTGTAGCAGTCCCTTTGCCAGGCTGACCCTCTGGCAGCAGGTAGGATCACAGACACCACAGAGCATCTCCTGCCCCACTGCTCCCCAACACTAAGCCAGCAGCAGAGGCACCATCCCACCCAAAATACCCAAATCTCCACTCTGATGACCCTCAGATGTGAGGTTCCCTTGTCAGCACCTCCAAGCTGTTATAGACAGGACCTGAGCCCCGACCTGCTCTTCCTACTCTGCTAAGAGAGGGGGTATGGGACTGCCTGGTGGCATTTGGCGCATTTATCAGGTGCCTCAAACTTGAGCTCCCTCAGGACAGCAGCAAACCACCAGTCCTATGTGCAAGGGGGATGTCAATCCTGGGCATGGGAAAAAGCACTTGTGTTCAGTAAATGAAGTTGCAGAGATGCAAGGAGGAACAGGGAGATGGCTTTAACCCCTGGTCCCATCTGAAAGGGGTCCTGGGTGTCACACAAGGCCTGTCCAGGGTGACTTTCAGCAGCAGGCGTGGCTGAAAGAGGGTACAGTTAAATTAGCCAGGCACCCTACCCAAGCATTAAGCCATGTTTTAAATAACCTTAACATCTGCGATGGGAAGCATGTGCAGACAGGGAGGGGAAAAAGTAAGAGGACCTTCTGGCCAGCCAAAGAGTTACCACCAGGACACAGCAGAGCCCATCAAAGGGAAACAGTCCCTGGATCAGCCGTGCCCTCCCCAGGCAGCTCTGCCTTGCCTCCTTTGCTCTGCCCATTTTAGCAGCCCCTTGATTGCTCATTCCCAAGCCCAGAACAAGAGGGAGGAACTGAATAGCATCCCTTCCCCAGGACACCCTCTGTGTCCCAACGGGAGCACGGGAGGAGGACTGGTGTGATGAGAAATGCAGGTTCCAGGGGGGGTCACTAAGGAACACCATGGGAATAACCCCCAAACACCCAACACTGACATCCAAGCTGGGACAGAACTGCTGTTCAGCATGTCCCTATGACATGGCCTAGGGACACTAACAGGGCAGAGGTGTGAAATACCAGCTGTGGACATGCTCTGCTGAAGCATTACCCCCAGGGTCAGCACCGCAGGATGCTCGCCTGACTCCCAAACTCTCTGCAGCCACCCATGAAGGGTTCCAGCACCTCTCAAGCACCCAAAGACCAAGGGACAGACAGATGGACAGCGTGACCCACATGGGCATCACAACCCATGCAGCCCCACACCAGCTCCAGCATCCATAAACTCTCTACCATCCTAGAGCAAGTCATGCATCCAGGAATGACCTACAATGATGCCGAGGCTGTCTGGACCAGGATGACAACAGAACGGGGGAACCCACCCGTAAGCAACAGCATCCAGAGGATTCCCATCGCCGACGCCAACCCTCCTCTGGTGCCATGCTGCTATTGTCCACACCGGCACTGCTCCGGTGTGTGCAGCTCCTGCCCGGTGGCTTCCCAAGCTCTGGAGCCGGCTGAACGGAAAACTCTATTTGTAAGCAGCCAAGGGAGTGTGAACGGGGAGAAAAGGAGCCTGTCTTGGAAGGGCTGGTTTACATTTCTAAAGAAAATGCCAGCGCTCCGGAGAGCCGCAGGGTTCTGGCTACAAACGGAGCCGAAAGGCTTTGAAAATGAACTCGGGGATTTAGGATGCTGGCATTTTACAGAACCTGGCCTGGGGCCTGGTTTGCAGATACAGAGCAGCGGCTCTCCAGCACGTTCCTGCAAGATGGAAATTGGAGGGTGGGGGGAAGCGGTTGGTTCCCCATCCCATGAGAAAGGCAAGCTTGTGAGTAGTAAACCTCTGCTGTGCTGATGCCCCCAAAACACCCTGTGTGTACCCAGGGGAAGAGCAACATGGGGACCTGGCAGCACCCGGGCTATGGATGAAACACAGGACACCCTTCAGAGCCACAGGGCTCCATCGTGGTGGCTCAGGGATGCTGCGTGGGAGTCCCTTGCTGGGGGACAACCAGAGCAGCACAGGTTGGGGTACCCCAGCCCTGAGCCTGCACATCAGCTCCCTGGCTGCAGGAAGGGCTGGGGTTTCTCCAAGGGGAAACACTTTGATTAAAGCTTGGAAAACTGGAGATAACTTGGGAAGTTTCCTACAGCACTGGAGGCCGTGCGCTCCTTTGAGCTTCCCAAGGGTGCTGCTGTGGAGGGCAACACCTCTGGCACCTCTGACCGCCCTCGATGGCCAGTGTTACGGGATCAGGATTTCCTCCCTCGTGCAGGGCTGCAAGCGAGCAGGCGCCAGTAACACAGATACTTCTGCAACAAGACAGGTCTTGGCTCTCCCCACCTCCTGGAAGGATTTTTATCTGCTCTTTCACAGCTTGACAGCTCCAAAAGTTCATTGCTAAAGGCACGCCATCCATTAGCGTTCGCCCCTAGGGACCAGACCCAAAAGGAGAGCATCCATCTATGTCACCGCTCCACCTCCTCCTCCATGCCAGAGATGGGAAATGCTGGCTGGGGAGGGATGAAGGGATGGAGTCTGTGCCAACCGCCTTACCTTGGGGATGAGAGCCGGGGGTACCACCACCAGTGGCTCCGCTGGGGTCATGCTCTTGCCGGCCAGGACCACGGCACCGCATTCGGTACAAGCACCGATGGTCAGCTGCTTCCCGTCATCCACCAACAGGCTGTTGGGCACACGGAGGGTGTAGAGGAAGACCGGCAGCCTGGCCACTTGAACCGCTTTTAATCCAAGGCATCGCTTCTTCTCCTGCCGGCAGAAGAAGCAGACGAAGGTCTCCACTTTGTACTGCCGGGACCAGGCGCTGCTGGGGTGGTGGGAGTTCCTGCCCTCGTGCTGCAGCCACTGCCCCAACAGGTCATGGTAGCACAGGATGCAAGTGGACACCAGCCCCGTCGAGTCGGCCGGCCTGGCCCTTGGGGCGGGTGGGTAGACTGTCAGGAAGGGGAAAAAGGGCTCTTTCTCCCCAAATCGCCCCGGTGGGTTGACGTTGAGCTGGAACTCTTTGCCGGCTCCCAGCTCGGCACCGCAGATGTAGCAGACAGAGGTGGGACCAGGCTTGATGGCAGGGTGGCCTGCCAAGCCACTGGGGTCACCGGCGGAGAAGACCTGGTGGTACCTCCCCAGGAAGCTCTGCACAGAGGTGATGAGCTCCTCGTTGTGGCAGGCCCTGTACATGGCCCAGAGGTCCTGCAAGACGATGAAGCACTTGCGGCAGCTGCTCACCTCCCAGTGCTTGTTCAGTCCCTTGGCACTGGGTGGGCAAGGCAGGAGGCTGATGAAGGGGAAATGCATGGTGTTCTTCGCATTGCCGTTGATGACCTTGGCCGCCACCAGCCTTGCCTCCTTGCTGCACTCCTCCCCGCACAGGTAGCAAGCCTCGGGTACCAGCGGGACGCCTGCCCCATCCTCCTTCAGCACTCGGCGGCCCTTGGCAGGCATGGCCCCGGCGTTGAGGGGCACCACGTAGAGCCGCTGCAGCACGGGCACGTTGGCCAGCTCGAAGCTTTGCCACTGCTGCATGAGGGAGGCGAAGCAGCAGGGACACACGAGGGTGCTGCCGGCAGGCGAGAGGGGCTGGGCGCCCGGCGGGGGGCTGTGAAGCCAAAGGAAGGGGAAGAAGGGCGCTGGGGAAGTCTTCTCCTGCTTCTGCACGTGGACGCGGTGCTGGGTGGTGGGTGACAGGGGGCTGCCGCAGATATAGCAGGCGGTGCCCGATGCCCAAGTGGGCCGCTCGCTGCCTTCCTCCTCCTCTTCCTCCTCCTCGCTGGTGATGTTGATCTCGCTGTCCTCCGAGGAGCAGCAGGGCGGCCCCCTCTTGCCCGCCGCCGCCGGGGGGGTCCGCGCCGCGCCGCCCGCTCCTTCGGGCTCCGAGAGGGGCTCGGCGTCGGAGAGCTCCGAGAGGTCGGAGCCGGCTGCCGGCCCTTCCTCCCCCTCCTCCTCCTCTTCTTCCTCCTCCTCCTCCTCCTCCTCCTGGCCGGCGGGGCGGCGCGGCGGCGCGGTGGGGTCCCAGCCCGCCGCCCCCCGCCGCAGCCCGGCTCCCCCCGCTGCCGCCGCCGCCGCCGCCTCGCACTGATGGGGCCGCTTGAGCCAGTACATGCGCTTCTCCACCGGCGTGCGGCTGCGCTCGAAGGAGTCCCACTGCTCGCCCAGGAAACAGCGGCAGACGGCGCAGACCAAGGCGCAGCCCTCGGCCGAGACGGCGCGGGCGCCGGGCGCCGGTTCCTGGTGCTGGAGAAAGGGAAAGAAGGGTCGGTGGTCGCGGGGGGGTCGCACTTGAAGCTTCAGCTCTTTGCCGCGGCTGATGCCGCCGCCGCAGATGAAGCAGCAGAGCGGAGGCGCCGGGGGCTGCGGAGCCCCGGGGCCGCCCGCCGCCGCCTCGCCGTTCGTTAACGCGGCCATCAGCCGCTGCTTGCGGGAGAGCGGCGCCGGCGCCCCCGGCCCCGCCGCGCTCATCGCCGCCCCCGGCTCATCCCGCGGCTCCGCCGGACACGCAGGCTCGGGGGGCGGGTTTGCCGGAGCGCTCCCCCCCCGACACCGCCAACCGCCCGCCTCCTCCCGCTGCAGGGAAGGCAACGGGAAAGGAGAAAATGAAATAATAAAAAGAAATTAAAGGAAAAAAAAATAAAAAACCAAAACAAATAAAAGACCCAAAAGCGACGGGAAACGCAAAAATCTCTTCCCCACAAACAACAACAAAAAGTTCGGTGCGAAAGTTTGGGTGCCGCTGGCGGCGCGGAGGAAGGGCGGCTGCTGGCCGCCTCCCGGCCCCGGCGCCCCCGGCCCGGCTCCTCCCCGGCCCCCCCGCTGCGACCTGCCTGCGAAAGAGGGGGGGGGGCCCGGGGGGAGGAACGAGCCTCTGCAACACCCCCCTCACCGGCAGCGCGGAGGGACCCCAAGGGGGGGAATGGGATAAAGGGGGTGGGGGGGATTGAGCAGCCCACCCCACCGAGGGGGTTTATCGGGGGCGGCCCGCACGCGTTGCTCCCTCCCACCCCATCAGCGCCGTCCCTTCGGCACTGCACGGCCTTTTGTGCGGCTCCCCCTCCCCTGGGCGGCGTGTTCCGGCACCGCGTCCGCACGGGCAGGACGGAGCCCGCAGGACTCTGCCCTTCACAGCGCTGCCCACCAACCCTTAACTCAACGTCCCAGCCGCCCGGTGATTTATTTCGCGTTTAAAAAGCCCTGCTGCTGTTCCAGTTCAATACCAGATTCTATTTCCCGCTCGGTCCTAAAATGCTGCATCGCTTTGCCACTCACTGGTAAATAGCTGATGTGTTCCCAGCCGGAGTTGGCTGCGTTTCAGCGACGCATGCAATAATCCCGGTATATCCTTACCTGCCTTGCAGCCTGTGATAAGATTTAATGCTTGTGAAGCACTTTGCTGTCCTTGGACAATAGGCACCACGGAAGTGCAAACTGTACTGAGGTCCAGCCACAATTAAACCTGACTTATTAACCACCCGAGCATCTAAGTCAGCATGCCCATTGGCTCGGAACAGCTCTCCCAATAAAAACAATATATTAGGAGCTGTAAGGATGTATTTAAGCAGTCATTTTAGGAGGAAGCCTGCACACGGCAGTACCGTTGAGTTTGAGTTCATGGAAAGTCACTGCAACATCCCTTGTCCTGTCCTTGCGAAGCCCTGAGCCCGTGTCCTCGCTCCTGAGTTACCAGATGGGCTTAAACCAGAACAGCCTGACCTGCTGAAGGTGCTGTGCAGGGTTAAACCCAAAGAGGCAAGGCTGATCGTTGCAGTAGGAACACAGGGACGTAAGGGACAGGGGGCTGAGAGCCTAAGCCACGCATCAGCACAGCCTGATGCGGAAAAGCCGCATCGTCCCCGTTCCTCTTCCTCATCATCCCCAGTGTGAGCATAACCCTCACCCTTGGGGCACCCCAGCTACCCCCGTCTTGTGTTGACCAGCCCTTCATGTCATCTCCCACCCCGACCACGGGTGACGGCGTCCGGAGCTCCCCGGCAACTGGCCATGAGATCAAGCAGATTGTGTGACATCAGCTGGAGCGCGGGCAGGGGCCAGGAGGGCTCTTCGGGGACCCGGATCCAGTTTCCACGCAGATGGCTCCGGCAGTAAAGAAGCAAGGGGGGGTGGGAGGCGACACACAAAGCGGGGAACACGATACCTTGGGGAGAACGGACTCGATGGGGCTGGGTTCTTTTTTCCAGGGGTTTCCAGAAGACAGCAAGGCCTCGTTTATTTTCCCTTTATTTATAGGCCTGATGTGGTGGCTGCTCTATGCGCTGAGGGCACGGGGAGCGGGGCATGTGGTGGGATGGCCATGACTCAGATGTTCTTTAGAGGTGCACGTGGTCTCTCAGTGTAACCCCCCTTTGCCTGGATGGGAAGGGGCAATCCGAGTGGGATGGGGTCCTGGACCCCGGGCAGCAGCACCACTGGATGGGGGAATGCTTGTGTTTCCTTTGGGTTTTCATGGAGCACGGGGGGCTCGGCTGCCCATCCGGAGCTCCCCAGGGGAGATGCGGCCACCGGCTCAGCCCACCCTTCGAGCGCAGCCGACAGATGCTCTCCCGCCTGCTCCACAGATGGGCGAGGAAACAACGCGCTGCATTCAAGGACCGGAGCTCAACAGGGCCAGACCCCTCCTTTCCCTCCCCTTCCCCACAACACCAACCCTCCGTGCCACTCTCCGGAGGCGCCGTGAGCCCCCCGGCTCTCCCCCCACACACCCCGAGGATGCAGCAGCTTCCCGGGCCTTGGCTGCGCAGGGACAGAGCAGCTCATTTATCATCCTCTGCCGCCCCTGCCCTGCGGTTGCTGTTTGCAACAGAAGAGCTGGGAGGGAGAGAAGATTTCTCAAGTCAGCCTCGGCAAGAACTGAAAACATATGCCCTGGCGGCAAACGCATCCCCTGGGGCTCGCGGGGATCCAGCCGAGCCTAGCACAGGATTTTCCACCGCGGCTCCCGCCGGCTCGCAGCCCTCCTGCTGGAGACGGCGTTTTAAAGCAACCCCCAAAGGGCTGGGGATGGTGACAGCTCGGGCTCCTCTTCCGAGCCCAGCACCATGGGGACAGCGGGATGCGGTGCAGACGGAGCGGGATGCGGTGCAGGATGGGTCCTCTCTCAAGCTGGATGGCTGCGGGCCAGGTTCAGGAGGCAAACATCCTCCCTGCGCCCATCCTAAGACCTCCTTGCTGGCTTGGCACGCACAATTGTCCCTTTGCGCAAAGTCAAGCCCCAGGGACAGATGTCCCTTAAAGGCAGGGGTTGGACGGCTGCTGCGTGACTGCGTTGCGTCAGGACATGGTGCTGGTTGTGCAAGGTGCTGTACAAACAGCCCTGAGCGGCCTCATGGTGCAGAGCTCCATTGGCTTACATCGGGTTGGGATGGATTGACAAGCAGCTTGCCCAGTGCTGTGATCATCTCTACTCCACTCCCATCCCCATCCGCATCCCCATTCCCGCCTCCATCCCCAGCACTGCAGGACGGTGCCCAGCAGCACCCATTCACAGCACACAAGCAAGGTGCCACTGCACCCTCCGGAGCAGGCACGTGCTGCAGATCCCCCCCCCCCCCCCCCCCCCCCCCCCCATCCCCAGGACCGGGAGGTTAATATGGAAATTACCAACTGCTTATTCCTTCCAGCTGTTGCTGTGAGTCATCAAGTGCCTTAAAGAGCATTTCAAACAACACAGTGCCTTCGAGACAGCATGACTGTTCCCCCCCGCCGCCCCCTCCGGATAATCCTCCACAAGGTCTGCTGTTTGAAAAGGGAATATTTCTCCAAGGAAGCAATTCCCAGCCGTGCGTGGACAGGGAGGAAGAACAGTCGCTGCCTCGCCATGGTGCCTGACCAGGCTCCCACCTCTGCCCATGGGCTCCCAGCATCCCGCAGAGCAAACCCTGGCACCGTGCCTCGCCATCATCCCTGTTCTAAACCCAACGCTGGCACATAAATGCCACCACATACAGGCGTGGGTGACGATGCCCTCTGTGCCACATGGGGAAACTGAGGCACAGGGCAGCCAGCCTGAGGGTCACAGTGTCACCTGGTGAGGATGACACTGTGACCACTGTGTGGTCCCTGCGGGACACTGGGTCATTGGCCTGGGGTTCAGGAACATGAACTCTGCCCTGCACAGCTGTATTTTTCTCTGCCAGTTTACTTTAGTCTTTGTTTCGTTTTAAAAGGCTGATCTCTGCACTCAGCACTGATTTTTCAGATGGAAAAGATAGGGCTGGCTCATGGAAATAGCTGGGATACATCCTTTATCCACTGCTTTAACCTTCCTTTGAACTTTTGGGCTTTCTTAATTGATTGTTTTTTCCCCATTCATTTCTGCTTGGAAAAGCCCAGCCAGGTTTTCTCCTGCTTGTAAACTCTTATTTCCCCCTGTCCTTTGTGTGGCCATGCAGGTGAGTCAGGGATGCTGTCAGCCAAGATCACGCTGGTGTGAGCAGGAACATCTGCCCCTGTGTGGGCGGGAGCCTGAGATAACAAAAAAGACACAAAATAAGCTGCACATAGGGACAAGGAGCTGTGGGGTGAATAGATGGGAAGGGGACACAGCCCCAAAACCTGTCCCAAAAGCATAGCCATGGACCGGAGCACAGGGTCTGCAGCAAGGGGTGGTCCATGGCTGGGAGGGAGGGATGCTGCTGGGATGGTCCCCATGGAGAAAGGTGACTCTGGGGAGAGGAGAGGGTCGCTGATGGCCACTGCAGCCTGAGCTGCTTCGCTCTGCCAAGTGCTTTTGGAGATGCTGCAGCAAACAAAACTGCTGCTCCTGCAACAGCCAGGGGATAAAGGCACTACAGGGATGTGCTCAGCGCCTGGACCCAGTGGCCAGGTCCAACCAGGAGCCTTAGGTCCAGCCCAGAGGTGCACATGAGCACGAATATACATGGAACAGAACACCATGCACCGAGTCCCTGCTTGGCCATCGGGTGGTGTTAACCCCATCCTGGACACCCTGTCTCCCTCTGGCCGGGCCCAGGCACTGATTCACCCTATGGCACCGTGCCCTGCGAGGCAGGAGGGAGCCACGTCCCCTGCGAGGCACAAGGGCTGAGTTGCTGGGGTGTTTTTAAGAGGTTTTTTTTTTGCTTTTCCTTTCCAGAATGAGCTGCTCTGCAAATGCCAAGTGCTGGTGCCAAAGGGCCGTGTCAACAAAGAAGAATGAGAGTGGCTGTTAGAGGCTGCTATTAAAAAAGGGTGGAGAGGGGAGCAAGAAGGAGGTGGGGAGAAAAAAAAGGAAGAAGAGGTTTGTCAGTGCAAATAGTTTCAGGAGCACCATGCAGTGCCCTCAGGGTCTCACACCGCACAGGGACTCTGCACCCTATGTCCTCCTGGGGTCCTGGGGCACAAACCCCTGCCAGGGCCTTGGCATCCCCCCCTGGAGGCAGCACAAAGTGATTTCCAAGCTCAAAGTGTTTTCCCATCCTGCTCAGCTCCTGCTTGGCTACCAAGCCCCAATG